AAGCATGTGAAAAAGGAGGGAAGGATGGAAGGAAAGAAGGGTTCACAGATTCATAGAAATGCAGAGTTGGCAGGCACCCCAGAGGCCATCTAGTCCAACCCACTGCAGTGCAGGAATTGCGGCTAAAGAATCCCTCGGTTCCTTACGATTAAGAGAGGAGGGGGTTCCTCTCCTGCCTCTGGGCTGGGCTAGCCTGCTGTACGTGTCACAACAATGAGAACCACCAAGAAACATTCTCTCCTCGTGACATTATTGAGAGTGGAGAGATTAGAACAGATTATTTTCTGGATAGTACTTACAACAATGTAATCTGAAGCATGACCAATTTGTACACCGTATTTCCCTGGACAAATTTACCCCCCCTGAAAAAAAAGCCTTCGTGCTCATTCTCTTAGACTATTTGGCATCGCCACTGTTTGCTTTCATAAGCTTTGTGGACACAGATGGACTTTAAAACTGACGAAAAACAAAACCAAAGCAATTTTCCCATGGGAAAGAAGAATAAAGCATGTGCGGCGCCTTCAACTCGCACACCAACCAGGTATAAAGTTAATTTTGAGGCTGATCTTTTGAATGTCTGCTGTCAAAGAAAGTCAGTAGAGAACTTAGTAACTCAGAGCCTGGTGTTGGGGGTGTCATTGCTAACAGACATCAATCCTGGGGTGGGTGTGGTGGGGGTCTCTTCCCCAAGATACAGTGATGGTCCCCACCTGACCACGGTTGTTTTTGTGCAAACCAGTGGTTCTCAAAGTGGGTGGCACCAGTCCCTGGCAGGGTGGGATTCCCTAGGGAGGTGCAACAGAACCTGAAGTGCTCTCCTGGATCATGCCCTGCAGAGGGACCTTCCCCTTTACATTCTCCTTGCGGTTCTTTGCACATTGCAGGGGTATTTGCCAACCCCTCCTCTTCCCATTGTTTAAATGTTTAGTCTGGGTGGGGCTCTTGGTGGGATGGGGCATTATAAAGCCACCTGGCTGGCGGCTGGAGGGCACCCCATCCGACCCGGCCATGAAGTCTGGCGGTCTCGTCTTCCTCCTTGTGGGGCTCCTTGCTTTCTGTGCCATGATGCCTCCTGCCTCCGGCAATTGTACGTGACGCCTTTTGGATCCTGACTCAAAGACGGACCCTTTTCTGCCTGGGCAAAGCTCTCTGGACAGGTCTATTCTTCTAGCGCTGGTGCTACTTTGTGGGCAGCTCTGAGTGGGACCCCTTTTGCCCCTCACCCCCAAGACCCTTCAGAGGAACACAGATATTTCTGTGCCACAGAAGGTTGTCAAGTGGTCTGCCTGGGAATGTTTTAGGGCGGTGGGTCCCAATTAGCTAATTACTGAGGACCCTCTATTTTTCAAAAGCCAGGCCATGGACCCCCAATTTTGAGAATTTTGATAACTCTATGGTAGTTACCTCTACAAAGCATTTTTTTAAAAATGGGGGGTAGCCTCTAATAAGCAAAGGTATACTAAAAAAAAACAGACTAGGGCTAAGAAATATCTGGTTTCTAACAGCATGATATATCAGCTAAGGGACGCGGGTGGTGCTGTGGGTTAAACCACAGAGCCTAGGGCTTGCCGATCAGAAGGTTGGCGGTTTGAATCCCCGTGACGGGGTAAGCTCCCGTTGCTCGGTCCCTGCTCCTGCCAACCTACCAGTTCGAAAGCATGTCAAAGTGCAAGTAGATAAATAGGTACCGCTCCGGTGGGAAGGTAAACAGCGTTTCCATGAGCTGCTCTGGTTCGCCAGAAGCGGCTTAGTCCTGCTGGCCACATGACCCGGAAGCTCTATGCCGGCTCCCTCGGCCAGTAAAGCGAGATGAGCGCCACAACCCCAGAGTCGGCCATGACTGGACTTAATGGTCAGGGGTCCCTTTATCTTTATATCAGCAGCTAACCATCGCGATATATCAAAATGTCTGAAATTGGAGATTAGGTGTGAGGATGAGGGAAGGAGCAGCCATGGAGATGGGGTGGGGGGAGGAGAGGAAGCGGAGGCACCCCCCACTGCATGGTTTGAGTGAGGGGAGGTGGGGATGGGGGGGTGCGTCAAGCGCCGTCAGCTGGGCAGCCAGCAGTGGCAGCCAGTGAAGAGGCACATCCACTGTGGCTGCTACTGCTTTTCTTCTGACTAAGAAAAGCTGCTCCGTCTCAGTGCCAGGGGAAGGTAGTGCCAGGGTCCCTTGAAGGGAAGGTGATCAGCTCCCTTGTTCTCTCTCAGCGTGAAAGAAGACTGCTCAGGTCAGCAGTGTTTTCGGCTGAGATCATTGTGAGATATCAGCGATGCCTTGAAATTGGCTGCCCTGCTCTCCCTCATGCGAGAAGAGATATGTTGCTGTGTATTGCCGGGTCAAAATCGCTATCGCGGTGTGATTTCAAAACTGATTTGGGCCAATATATTGAAAAATCACAGACTTCTAAAACAGACCATAAAATTTGTGGTATTGCCATGGAAAAATGACAACTAGGCAGAGGGCCTTCTCGGTGGTGGCACCTGCCCTGTGGAACGCCCTCCTGACAGATATCAAGGAAATAAACAACTATCTGATGTTTAGAAGACATCTGAAGGCAGCCCTGTTTAGGGATGTTTTTAATGTTTGATGCATTACTGTATTTTAATATTTTGTTGGAAGCCGCCCAGAGTGGCTGGGGGGGCCTGGCCACATGGACAGGGTATAAACAAACAAACAAACAAAATTTACTGCTGGGGGGGATGCAAGGGATGGGGGATGCCGACTCCCAGGGTGTGTTCAGTGAACCCCCAGGGGTCCCTGGACCCCCTAATTTGTTTTAGGGGGCTCCAAAGGGAATCATTCCCTTCTCTTGTTTGGGTTGCCATCTTCTGCAGCAAACCCGGGAGCTCAGTTTGGATAGGAGGAAGGAAGAGAAGTGGGCTGATAGCTGGGAAGGGAGGGGGAGATGATGGACACACCTCCCCAACACACACACACACACAACTGAAGCTGGTCCTAATAGCTTCAGCCCCAGAACAGAGCAGACTGAGAAAGGAAATATCGGCCGCACATCCCATAAATGAAAGGAAATGGAGGGACATGAAGGGGAAAGGGTGGCGGCTCTGGGGGAAGTTGGCCAGCCCCAGCGAACACTGATCCAGCTTCAACCCAGATGTCCATCCCTCTACTGGGATGGAGACAGGCAAAAACTAGGGCCCTCTTCATCCAAGCTGTGCTCATCCTAGAAAGGCAAGGATTATTTGGGTTAGGGATATGCAAGAAGAGTCACAACCCTGTTCTGCCCCAAAGTTGCCTTATTTTCAAAAGATGTCTCTAAGCGAGGACGTTGGTCTGTGTCACAGGGCCTTGGAGGTCGAGGGCTGGAATCTGCCCTTTCAACTTGAGAAGAGTGAAGCGACCTTGCCAGCAGAAATGTACGCTTGATCTTCACTGCCCTAGCCCCAAGAAATGCTGTCCAAACATGTGCTCCATGGACTGCGTATATCCAAGTAAGATGCCGATCCCTTTGTGGAAGAACACAGCACTATTATGTGGATGTGGATGATTTGTTCTTGTTTATTGGGTTATAATTTGAAACTGCAATATTAAAGCCAGTTAACACAAGTCAGTTTTATATAATTACAAATTATTTAATTTTATTATCTGTTTTTAGGCACCAGGCGAAAATCTTCCTCTTCAACCAGGCCTTTGGCTGATTAATATTCCACAGCCTTTTAAATGTCTCCATGGAAAGGGGTGGGGTACTGTTTTGCTGTTTTGTTTTTCATTATTTACTTGTTTTTATTCTGTATTTTGTTCTGCAAACCACACTGAGTTTTTATGATGAAGGGTGGTATATAACTCTAATAAATAAATGATAGAATCAATTGCAAACAAGCAAGCAAACAAATGTTCCTGGCTTTTACTGCATGACTATTTTTAATTACATTTTGAGAGGCCTGCTTGTATCTGAAGAGAGGTATGCAAATGTTTGCAATGGATAACTACAATTATTATCTCAAAAGAGCCAAGATGCCAAAGCGTTTAGTTCTATGGAAATTCCTGAAACTCGTCACCTGAATTTTGCTCCATTTTGTGTGAGAAGCAGATAATAGGATGGGAAATGCATAAAATGTTTGTCCGAGGGAAAGTGATGGTAAGTATTGTCAAAGACAAAATAATTAGGCACAAGTCTCAAGACTTCTCTCTTCTCTCACCAGGGCCATGACAGTGACACCAAGCCTGAAATCCCAGCAGCTTCTGCAGTCTTGGTTTTGGAGATTTGAACTCAGGACCGAGCGTGCAAAGGGAACGATTGTTCCAGCTCCCTCCTGACCCTCGTGGGATCAACCCAGCCCCCTCCCCTCCCTACAATAAAATGACCCACATCACTGCACTCCAGAGTGTCTTGTTCTTGAGTCGCATTTGCTTTTATCATCCGAAAATTGTTTTGGGAAGAAGGGAGAAAGAGCATGTTGCTGCCACAATAATGGCGTGTCAGTGTTGACTTTGTTCTGCTTTACTTTGTTCTGCCAGCGATGATTTAGCTGGATTCCTGCATTGGACTAGATGAATAGCAAGAAAGGAGATTCCAACTAAGCATCAGGAAGAACTTTCTAGTGGTAAGAGCTGTTTGAAAGAGGAAGGGGCTCCTTTGGAAGCTGGTGGGTTTTGAAGCAGAGGTTGGGTGGCCATCTGCCAGGGATACTTCAGCTGCGATTCCTGCATTGCAGGGGGTTGGACTAGATGACATTCAGGGTCCCGTCTAACTCTACAATTCTATGATTCTGCAATATTGTTTAATCAGGAAAGAAATGCATCCTGCTGCTGTCTGATTTGAGGCATCCACACAGAGAGAAAATTCTGAAGCCTCTGGCCTTTTTTGTAATTATTATTTTTTCTGAAAAAGGTATCACCAGTGGAAGCCCAGGAAGGCTTCTTTCTGGTTCCCAACGAGGAATAATGTCCTGGGAGTTCAGCAAGCAGAGCGCAGTCAGAAAAAGAGAGCCCTCTCCCTGCCAAACTCCCACCCACCAACTCAGACACATTTCTAGGATTCAGGTGCAAATATCCAGGTTTATTTATTGCAAATAGCAAAGGGGAACTTGAGTGAAATGGGCTCCAGGAGGAGGAAGAAGGAGCAGGGAGACGGCTGGCTCCAGGAGGAGGTCTTCAGTTCCCAGGGCCAGCTCAGAGACCCCTGTGGAGAAGTCAGGACTGGGCGCTGTCCTTGGTGCTGGACCTCTTTCAGGGCTCTGCTGAGGATAGAAAACAGAGTCAGACAAGAGGAGGAGGAGAAGGAGGCAGAAGAACCCAAAGATAGGATGAAGTTCCACTCTCAAGGACCCTCTTCAGAGCTGTAGCTCAGCGGCAGAACATCTGCATTGCATGCAGAAGGGCCAAGTTCCCTGGCCTCTCTGGGTATGACTGGGAAAGGAGACTTGCTGGAAATCCTGGGGTGCTTCTGCGGCAGTATAGGCATCAGCTGAGCTTGATGACCCTATGGTGCAACACAGTTAAAGCCATCTCCTTGACTTCTTCCTTCTTCCTTATAATTCTTTATCTGTATAGTATTCCTTGATTCATGTCCCCAATGCCTTGTGCAAAGCCTTCTCCCTTGCTTTAATGAGGCAAGGAAGACAAGCACCCCAGAGGGAGCCTCCACTGCTTTTTTGGGGTGATGACAGGCATCCATGCTGACACATTATCAGTAAGGCCTGTGTCGCATGCGCAAGAGTGCAGCCTGAGCACAAAGTGGTAAGAACCAGTTTAGGAGGAACTTAACAATGACAATTAAAGTGAAGACCGACTCCATATAAGGTACAATGGGGGTTCTGCTGGTGAAAATGGGTTGAGTAAAGTTGCATTTTGAGGACTGTGGTTGGATGAAGCAATGGTGGGGCAGTGGGGGGGGTCATAAATTGTTGACCAGAGGATGAACAGCTAAGATGGTGTATATTTTTCCTATACAGAGGGAGTCATAATGGAAAGCTCTTGTTGACCAGCAGGGAGTTTGGTGTGACCCTCAGTACTGGAACTCCCAAGGGAAATTTCTCTGACAACTGCCTCCAGGGTAACCCAAGGATGATTTGAATTAACTCACCTTAGACAGGGTAGAAGCAGTCTGTCTTGCACCCATATTTGCAGCACTTCTTGGGCCAGGGGCATTCATAGTCATTCATACACCGTAATTCACAGGTTGTCACAGTACCTTGAGGTGGTATAGGGCATCTTCCAGACCTCTCTGCAACACAAAAGAACCCCAAGGCTCTCAGACCCTCCCCAAATGGTGGGCTGCAGCTCAAGCATATTCCCGCAGCCAGAGAACCAAAATGTCCTTTGGAGGGTGGGGTGAGAACGTTTGGTGTGGAGACCTTTTATTCTAGTCCAGCATTCTGTTCTTACAGTGGCCAAACAGTTGCCCATTGGGAACAAGCAAGGATAATTCAAGCACAAGAGCAACTCTCCTCTCCTGCAGTTTCCAGCTACTGGTATTCATAAGCACTGCTGCCTCTGACTGTGAAGGCAGAGTAGAGGCATCCTGGGGAGGAGCCCTCAATATAACCTGTTCCTTGGATTTTTATTATCCTCTTTTAAAGCCATCCAGGTTGGTGGCCCTCACTGCCTCCTGTATAAGACGTGGTTTTTTTAATTATAAAAGAATGTTAAGAATTGGGGGTCATCTTATACACAGATAGTGCAGAGGGGGGGATGAGCGATTGGTTGCAGCCACAAGCAGGAGATTGCCAGAGGTGATTGGGTGGCTGATGGGTAGCTGTGGCAAGGCCTGCTGTTGATTGGCTGCTGCTGTGGCAATTGGGCGGGTGATTGGTGGCTGCTGGCGGCAAGTGGGCAGATGGTTGTGGATTCAGCGACGCCGACACATCTTATACATAGGAGGGAGATTGCCCAGAGCTTTTTTCGGGGGGGGGTGTGTGCCATAAATCGCTCATCTGCCTGACTGACTCTGCCAATTGCCACAGCAGCAGCCGATCAACCAATCGGGTTCTCAATGACTTCTCGCAGGATGGCACTGTTTGCCTCCATGGTTGGAGACAGCGATGCTTCTGAATGCCAGCTGGTGGAAAAAAACACGTCTTATACACAGAAAAGTATGGTAGTTTAACAGGAGGCAGTGAGGGCCACCACCCTGGATAGCTCTCCTCCTCCACGAATCTTCTGAGTATAGAGATTCTGCAATTCTTCATAAGTCACAATGGCTTTGATTCATGAAGAAGAAGAGCTTCCTATCCACCCCACCCTCCGCAGAATAAATGGTCTCACCTCTGACAGGATTAGCACAATCTCGTGGGCAACTCCCGCAGCACTTCTGAGCTCCAGAGCATGACCAGTCATCCTCACAGTTCACCACGCAGGGTCCGACCATACCTGGCTGAGCCCCAGGACATTGCCCAGGCTTCTCTGCAACAGAGCAGAATTCCAAGGTTGAGAAATGTCTTTGGCCAGAGAGGCTGTCTCCATAGCTGTCAACTTTTCCCTTTTCTTGCGAGGAATCCTATTCGGAATATGGGAATTTCCCTTTTTAAAAAGGGAAACGTTGACAGCTATGGCTCTTTCTCTTCATGTGGGATGGAGCTCCTTTGCATCCAGTATTCAGAGGAGCCCAGGATTCCTAAGGTGGGCTCTGTTCTGCTCAGGGGTCTGATGTGTCACACAAAACTTTGTTGTTGTTGTTGTTTAGTCATTTAGTCGTGTCTGACTCTTCGTGACCCCCTGGACCAGAGCACGCCAGGCACTCCTGTCTTCCACTGCCTCCCACAGTTTGGTCAAACTCATGCTGGTAGCTTCGAGGACACTGTCCAACCACACACAAAACTAGACTTCCCAATAGCTCCCCACCCCTGCTGTAGGGTGGTCCCTGCACTCTCAGCAGTTCAGGAGCAGAACAAGTCCTGCCTTTTGGAGCAACAGGAAACAAGATTGCTCCATCTTCCATGTGGTGGCCCTTCAAGTATTTGAAGATAGCTCTCCTACCTCCTCTCAGTCGTCTCTTCTCCAGGCTAAGCAGACCCAATTTCCTCTACCATTCCTCAGAACGTTTTGTTTTCAGACCCTTTACCTCTTGGTCCTCCCTCCCCTGCAAGAGCCCTTTACTCCAGTGTAATGACATTGGGCTCTCAGGGGTGCCCTCCTTGGCTGACCAGCTGCCTCAGCCTGTAACATTTGCCTCCAACCCCCTTGAGGGCTGAGGATTCCCTCAGACTCACCGCCCAACAGCACCCCTACCTAAGGCAGGACCTCCTCTGCCTCAAGTAAGTCAGGAACACACGCCAAGGCTATCTCCTGTGGGAGGCCTAGTGTAGTGTCTCCATGGACACCAGATCTGTGATGTAACTGGGAGAAGGGCTCTTCCTGATCTCCCAGGGGCTCCTGTCTCACAAGGTATGAGGCACCAGGGCCAGGTCAAGTCTCATTAGGACTCCTGCACTGGATGCTCTCAGGTAGGAGGAATGCAGGTGTGTGGATGAAGGGGGAGCAGAAGAACAGCTGCCTTGAAGAAACCCACCTTTGCTCACTGGGCACTTTTTGCACTTGCCCCAGCAGGTCTTTCACTCGCCACACCCTGGTAGGGGTGTTGGATTACCTCCACAGGTGCCAGGTGCACAACATGCACATGTCCTGGTGGCTGAGTTGAAGAAGCACAGCTGCTTTATTGTTTTGCAGGGGGTGGTCACCTTGGGGAGTCTGCCTACTTGACCTCAAGCAGAGATCTGCAAAACCATCCCCTCCTGTGGTCATTGGCACTTGCTTCCAAGGGACTTTGCAGCTTTGGGCAGAACACACTTTGAATCCCTGCAGAACACATCTGCTCTGTGTGCTGCTGCAACAGTAATGGAATGGACAACTCTGTGTTTGTCAGTTGCTTTACCTAGATCTATCTGTTTTGGAGGTGGGTGTCAGCTCAATCCAGAGGGGAAGGAGCCCCACAAGAAGCACCAAACCACCAGAAGTCATGGTGGGGCAGGCTAAGTGGAGAGTCCACCTCCCAGCCTGGCTTCTCTCTCTTTATATCTCCCAAAAGCATCAGGGGGATTACAGAACCTGAAGGAGTATACCTGAAGGAGTGTCTCCACCCCCATCGTTCTGCCCGGACGCTGAGGTCCAGCTCCAAGGGCCTTCTGGCGGCTCCCTCACTGTGAGAAGCAAAGCTACAAAGGGAACCAGGCAGAGGGCTTCTCGGTAGTGGCACCCGCCCTGTGGAACACCTTCCCATCAGATGTCACCTGACATTTAGAAGACATCTGAAGGCAGCCCTGTTTAGGGAAGTTTTTAATGTGTGACATTTTAATGTATTTTTAATCTTTGTTGGAAGCTGCCCAGAGTGGCTGGGGAAACCCAGCCAGATGGGTGGGGTACAAATAATAAATTAGTATTATTACAGAACCACAACATGCCCAGGAAGGTGGTGAGCAGGACAGAGTGGAACTTCTTTTCTCCCTCACCAGGTTTTGCAACAAACTGTCCCAACAGCTGAAAAGCTGTGGGCAGTCTTTCCACAGCGGTGCCAGAGTGAGGAGGGTGGTTTGGAACCACACCTGCCAACTCCCAAGGGAGAAGGGGATTTGGGGCTGCTATTCTGCAAGCCAGGATGCCCTTCCATGCTATTCCCCATTGCACTGGCAGCAGAGAGGGAGGCAAGGGGATTCCTGCATTGCAGTGTCTTGGACAGGATGACCCTCGAGATCCCTTCTGCCTCTACAATTCTGTGATTCTAAGGTGGAGCTCCAGTGAGGGAGGTTCTTCTGCCCTCCCAAAGCCCCCTGAAAGGCTCAGCCTGGGTCCCTGAAGGCTGCTGGGACCATGGCAAAATTCAGAGGCAAACTGAAGATGTTCCTCCGCCCCAAAGGAGTGGGTGGCAGGAGCTTAGGGGTGCCAGCCAAGGATCAGCTAGCTGCTCATCACTGCTATAATATTTTAAAAGCCCAAGCAGTGTAAATGAGCATAAATAGCACAAAAATGTATCATAAAAACATGTGGAAAGAGAACAATACAGCTTCGCTGCTAAAAAGTGACCAGTGATATCTATATTTGACCAACAACTAATTTGAAATGGTTTGGCAGAACATGAAGTTCTTTTTGTAAATGATGAAAACATAAAATAATTGACCCATGCCATTTTTTCCTCAAGGGGTGAGGGTGTTCCCGCTTGACCCAAGCAGGAGGGTCTGTAGTGGAGGCAGAGCTATAGAAGGGGACATGGAGAGATGTTGGAGATGAGGACTCTTTCAGCTACCCATAGGCAGTTTGCTAATCTATGGCTGACCTAGAGAGTGTTTCTTCTGGGGGCTTAGCAATATGGAGGGGATGGAGAAAAAGGAATTAAATGGGTCACTCACCTGGACGTTTCTGACCAAAGACAGGTGCCAGCTCACCCCAGAAGGCTAGGAGCACGACAAGGTAGAGGTTGATGGAGTTCATGGCGAAGCAGGTTTGAGTCCCTAGCCTGCACCCAGGAGGCTTTATAGCACATCCAGAAAGATCTGACTGGACAGTTCTTGAGCTCCACCCAGATGAAACAAAAAGCAAAAATTGGCAGGGAAAGGCTGGAGGTCCTGGGTGCCTGGAAGTGAAGCATTTCCAAGCCAACAACACCTTAGTAGGCAGAAGAGGAACCGGCTGAGTCTAGGCAGGGGTGTGCCTTTCTCATGATCAAAATGCAAACAATTGCAGAGGTGAAGAGCTGCCTTCAGGCACTTCCAAGCACCAGGAGAAGTGCAGCTGAAACCCAGAGGCTCAATGCCAGCACTGAGTCTGGGTGGCCTCAAGAATTCTCTTGCGTATTCTCTTAAATTCTCTTCATATATCAATTTATTGGAGATGCAACATTCAAAGAAAATGCCATATTAAGTGCTTGGTTGGCAGTTGCAGTTTTATTTAATCTGAATTCTCCTTCCTCACTTGTTCCTGTGCTGCACATGGCAGTATAACCCTCTGTGATGCAGTAATAATGCACACTCAGGGGGTGAAACAGCACAAAACGCAGGCTGAGAATGTGGGGTCCAGTGTGCAACCCCATGAAAATGCACCTGGACAAGTCACTTTTCAGCCTTCCATGGCACACTTGCAGTCCCCTAGCCTGAACATCACCTTGCCAACAAAGGTCTGTATAGTTAAAGCTATGGTTTTCCCAGTAGTGATGTATGGAAGTGAGAGCTGGACCGTAAAGAAGGCTGATCGCCGAAGAATGGATGCTTTTGAATTCTGGTGCTGGAGGAGACTCTTGAGAGTCCCATGGACCGCAAGAAGATCAAACCTCTCCATTCTGAAGGAAATCAGCCCTGAGTGCTCACTGGAAGGACAGATCCTGAAGCTGAGGCTCCAATACTTTGGCCACCTCATGAGAAGAGAAGACTCCCTGGAAAAGACCCTGATGTTGGGAAAGATGGAGGGCACAAGGAGAAGGGGACGACAGAGGACGAGATGGTGGGACAGTGTTCTTGAAGCCACCAGCATGAGTTTGACCAAACTGCGGGAGGCAGTGGAAGACAGGAGTGCCTGGCGTGCTCTGGTCCAGGGGGTCACGAAGAGGCCGACACGACTAAATGACTAAACAGCAACAACAGCCTGAAAATCAGGAAGGTGGTAGAGCTCAGAAGGGGGCCCCACTAGGACCCCCACTCATATGGAAAATGGACCCATCCAGATAGCAGGGGCAGATTTAGGGCTGCGTGAGTGGTACGCATGCACTGGGTGCTGAGCTGAGGGAGCGCTGTCTCAAAGCCTGGTAAGAGAGGTGCTGGACTTTTGGAAGGAGCCATGAGGCTCTGAGAGTCTTCTTGCTTCCTTCCCCAAACCTAGTTATCTCTTTCTCCCCTTGGGAAAGCGGGTGGGAAGGCTCTAGAACCCTCCCAGAGCACTCTTGTCTCCTTCCCAAAGTGAGAAGGCTGGAGGGGCCCAGGGTATTTTGCCTCTCACAGGGTGCCATAGTACCCAAGTCACCCATTACATGTGGTCTTGCATTTCTGAGGCAGAAATACCTTCAGAAAGGTCACAAAAAGTGCCTTAGCCGTTTCATAATAGTTGGTTGCAAAATCACGTTAGAGAGAGAAGGATGTCCTCTCTGCCCTCCTCGGGTCTGCCAGCTTCCTTAAACCTCCTGCTTCAGAAATTCCCTGTTAAACCTGTTTTCTGAGATATAAAAGAGGCACTGCCCTGGCTAAAGCTAAATTTAAACTTCTGCTGCCTTGCAGCTATACTCATTCATGAGAAAGGCTTTGGAAGTAAACCCCAAGGAAAAACCCATACCCGCTGCCTTGTGGGACCCCTTTGGGAGAAGAAAAGACTAGGGAGGGAACCCTACACAAATCCAGAGTGGAGTCCCTAAGATGTTTGGATGGCACCTTGTAGTCCTCCCTCCAGCAACTCCTGCAGCCAAGCTGGTGCCAAATGCCTTCTTTTGCTTTCCTTTGGGTTAAATCAGTGAGGCTGAGAGGAAGGTTTTGTTGTCTGGGAAGCCCAGGACCTCCATACACACTGCCCAGGCATGTGTCCCAGGGAGGTCACCCAGCAAAAATGACATAGGAGACTTAGCAGTTGCAAGTTAGCAGGAGCTGTGATTCTCTGGCAGTTTGGCTTATTTCTCTGAGGCACACTCCCCTGTCTCTCAAGACAGACAGATGCCAGCCATGCTGGGCAGTGGGCTCCTAAGCTTGTCCATTATGTGATCTAGTGGCCTTCTCCTCCTGGTGGGGGTCCTTGCTCTCTTGGCTCAGCTGCCACCTGCCTCCAGCCCCCCACCCCCACCCCGCAGGCAAGCACTTTCTCCTTCTTCTCCCAGTGCCACAGAGCCCTTTTCATTTCATGGAAAGATAGTCTACCCATCTATGCATGCCTCTCCATTCAGAGAACTATTTATTCCCACTCTTGGCTTCCTGCAACTTAACCATTTGATGATCCACAAGAGGACCTCTCCTCTTACTCCTTGACTGCTCAGCTGACTCAGGAGTCTTTGGTGAAGGACTTTGTGGAAAGTTTTCTGAAAGTCCAAGTCCATTTGTCGATGTGGGTCACCTTTATCTTTGTGCTTGTTGACATTTTCAAGGAACCCCAGTGAGGCTTGAACCCAAAGATTGCTCACAAATGATTCCTCATTGTCCTGGTAAAAATGACAAGTAGGGTGCCTCATGGTTTTTTTCCTGGGCCTATTGCTGTCCAACATCTTTATAAACAACTTGGATAAAGGAATTGAGGGATGCTCCTCAAATTTGCAGATGATTGTAAATATGCAGGTGACTGTGTGAAGCTGCACGTCAGCCATATTCCATTTGGGACTTGACCAGATCTGGTACACAGCCCTGCAGGTTGGCAAGCTCTGTCTCACAAACCCATTCGAGTTCTTGGAGAGGGTCAAGAAGCATAGAGGTGATCCAGTTGACCTAGCATACTTGGACTTCCAAAAAGCTTTCCACAAAGCCCCTCACCAAAGACTCTTGAGAAAACTGAGCAGTCACGGAGGAGAGGTCCGCTTCTGGATCAGGAGTTGGTTAAGTGGAGGATACTAAATTGTTCAGGGTCACTAAAACAAAACGAGATTGTGAAGAGGTCCAAAAGGACCTCTCCAGGAAATGTAAAGAAACTGAAGGTACATTCTTTCATCTTTGGTGGACGTGCCCAAGGATTAAGGCTTTCTGGGAGACGATATATAATGAATTGAAAAAGGTATTTAAATATACCTTCTTGAAGAAACCAGAGGCCTTTCTCCTGGGCATCGTCGGTCAATCGGTGTTAAAGAAGGATAGAACTTTCTTTATGTATGCTACAACAGCAGCAAGAATACTTATTGCAAAGTATTGGAAGACACAAGACATACCCACTCTGGAAGAATGGCAGATGAAGGTGATGGACTACATGGAATTGGCGGAAATGACTGGCAGAATCTGAGACCAGGGAGAAGAGTCGGTGGAAGAAGACTGGAAGAAATTCAAAGACTATTTACGGAGATATTGTAAAATTAATGAATGCTAGAATGATGTTGGATTGAAATTAAGTGGTTTCTAGCTGTAATGGTATAAAAGAATATGAAAAAAATGGTTTTTATAAGTAAAAATTTAATGTTATAATAACTTAAGATTAAAGATGTGGGTAGAATAAAGAGGGAAAGAAACTGCTGAGCTAATAAATTGAACTGGAATACAAAAAAGGGAGGTATGAGGAGGTCCGGGAAACAAGTAAATGAAAAATAATGTGATGAAAGGATTGATTGTTTTTAACTACTTTTGTTTTGTCTTTTTTCTTTTTCTATTTTGCAATGTAAAAACCCTAATAAAAATTTTATATAAAAAAAACCCAAAAGGACCTCTCCAAACTGAGCAAGTGAGCAGTAAAATGGCAAACACAATTCATAGTTAAGGAGTGTAACGTGATGCGTGTTGGGGCAAAGAAATCTTAATTTCACATATATGCTAATGGGTTCTGCACTGGTGGTGATGGACCCAGAGTGCGACCTTGGGCTCATAGTATGGAGCTTGATGAAACTGTTGAGTCATTGAGCTACCCACTATGACCCCAAGGCCAGTCCATGCCAGTTCAGCCCCATTGAGTATGTATATCCACAATTAAGATGTGTGCCAATATGCATCACTTTATACTTTTTTTAGATGGAATTGCGTTTGACATTTTACTCCCTGTCCACTCAGTTTGCATATGTCCTTTTGGAACTCCTCAAAATCAAAGCTTGTTTGAATGATCCTGAACAGTTTCATGTCTTCAGCAAACTTGGCCACCTCACTGCTCAACCCTAACTCTAGATTGCTTTTGAACCAACTAGAAAGCACAGACATGTCCCCATAATGATCCTTGGGGGACTTCACTTTCTTCACTGTGCCAGAAGGCAAATGGATGCAGCTCCCTCCCTCCCCTGCCTGATAGTGAGAAAGACAAAAGCCAGAGTGGTGAGCGAGATCTGAGAGGAGGCTGGCAGAAGCTGGGAGAAAGCAATGCTTGGATTCTGCTAAGATTCTAAGGACAATGGCCTGTTCCAGCAGGATCTTCTTAGGTTCTTCAGCAGGTGCATTTTGTGTTAAAAACATGAGACAAGACCTGCTGGTTCAGGCTATTGGCTTGATAACCTGGGTATCATTACCTGGGTCCCAAGTGTCATGACCTGAGATCCACTGGGGTCAACACAGCAGGCAGGCATTTCCGATCATACATCACTCTTATACATTGCTTACACAATACTAATATTTCTGCTTTGAGTCAGTTTCTAAGGACAATAGCTTACAGTCTGCTAGCAGCAGCTAGAAGGAAACTGAAGAGAGCTTCGGCCCATTAGGAATGCAGAGAAGCTGCCAAGTTCCTTCAGGCTAAGGGGGGCCACTAGGTGGCGCATCGGAAGATGGCTGACAATAACATCTCTCCGACCCACATGAGGTAATTTGGAGGCTATGATGGGGGTAATTAGCCTCCTTAACCCCACCAGGATTGTGGTGGGGGCGGCCCTTGCCTGCTGTGCCCTATACCACCCCCGAATTTGTGGGGGTGGGGGCACTAGGCACAAAGCCCTCCTGTGGGATTTTCGGCACTCCTTGACACCGTCCCTG